TTTCGGGGACGAAATTCTCAAAAGGAGGAGGTATTTGTAACATACACGTTTTGAGATCGTGTTTTATATAAATAATATTATGAAATATTATGTGATATTGAGTATTGAGTTCTAACAAATAGTTTTTACTAGAAATAAGGTAAAACTATGTTTAGAATCACTCATAAATTATTGGAAGTCTTATGAGATTCCAATTAAAAGCTAAATAGTGAAATTTAGCGAAAATATAAAACTTGAAATAAGTAAAATTTTATTGTTGAAAGTTGTAGATAATCTCGTTAGAAACATATAGGCGAAAACCTCATCGAAATCCGAGTTATAACGAAGAAGTTATGACCAATCGAAGATCCGCGATAAAACCGGCACGGTGCCGAATGACGTAAAAAGTGAGTTTTTGATAAACTACTTTTTAGCCTTAGTGATCTAAATGAAAGTCGTAGTATTCGTTAAACCGAGAAGTTCGATAAAAAGAACGCCAAAATCTGACTTCGTATGAGGAAGTTATGATTTTTACAAGTTTCAGCTTAGCAGTAGACAGCTAAAAACTCGAATTTTAGATCGAGTGATTTTTAGCCGACACAACCTAAACGAGAATCGAAGGTCTCGTCATTAGTAGTACAACGGTAAAAAGTCTGACGAAAACGGACGTCGGATGAAGAAGTTATGAATTTTTAACGGATTTACCAGTCCCGGTCTGTTAAAAATAATAATATAAAATAAAGTCAAAATTTTCCGACGAAGTCTAAACGAAAGTTGTAGAGCATAATTTTCTCTACGCGTGCATATAAAGAACGTCAAAAACGGAGCTCGTATGAGAAAGTTATGGATTTTACAAGATTTGGCACAATTTTCGAGAAAATCGCATGAATAGTGATTGCCACGTCACCCTCGCTCGGAGTTGGCCACGTGTCCGAAGCTGCTGCGTGGCATGTCCGAGAAGTGACGCGTGTCGCACCGGTGTCCGAAGAAGCACATGATCCTCGCATGCCGCACGTGATCCTCGCATGCCACACGTGATCCGAACCTCGTGTTGGCTCCTGATTCGACCAAGGCTCCTGACCCGATCCGAAGCTGTAGACGCGTCATCCGACCAATGCGAAGCGAGCACCTGTCCGTCCGAGCCTCGCCTTGCTGCCACCTGGTCCGAGCCTCGCAGCCAGCTGCCCTCATCCCCTCGCTTCGGATCCGAGGCTCACACTTTTATAAGGGGTGCGAGACCTCCCGGTTAAGAGTTTGAATTTTGGTCTTTTTCACCCCTTTTCAACATTTTCTTACATTCCGACTTCCCCCGAAGCCCCGATACTTATTCCAAAGCCCGAAGCGCACCCCGAGATTCCCGAGAAGCCCGAAAAATTTATCTTTTCGGTTTCGAAGCTCTACCTTCGCAGAGCCCGGTTTTCAAGAAAACTCCCGGTTTTCAACGAAGAAAGTCATATTTAGAGCCGAAGTGCTGCCCGAATTACTATTTTGACCCCCGGTTATTTCACGGTGAGTTTAATATATAGGAACAATTGTATGTTATGTGTTATATGTGCTATGTACTTTTCCATGTTATCATCTCGAGTTGTTGTATCTGCTATTTTATAGCAAGGCTGTACCTCTAACTTGAAGTGTATGACATAAGCATCACTTGGGTATTGGTATGAACCGTTGACCATGAAGTGTATGACATAGGCATCACTTTGGCTTCGGTAGTATGCTAAGATAAGGCTGAAAGCCTAAATATTCTAGCAAAAATAATATTTATGAGTATTTACTGTGCCATTTGTGCTGAAACTTTATTGATTTTATATCAAGTATGAAATTTGTTATGTCTCATTGATTAATATGGAAAGCTTTTCGCATTATGCCTTTGTTGTTCCTTGTTCCTTTTTGCTTCTGGCATATTACAGTATATATATGGCATAACGTTATATTGTATCTATTATTGAACTCACTAAGCGTAACCGCTTACCCCTCTCAATGTTTAACTAATTTGTAGGAGATAAGCACCCAGTATAGTGATATACTGGTAGAAGATTTTTGAATAGTTTGAAACTACTGTTTTGATAGAAGATTTTCGAATAGTTTGAAACTATTGTATTTTGCACTCCCATATGTATAAAACTATAGTATCCTGGGGAGTTATGTAATATATAACACTATGAAATAGTGGGTTTGTATCCAGTAGTTTGTAACCGTTTTATCAATATAAAATATTGTTTTATGAATATGCATATAGCATGTTTCGGAATAACAATTGTCAAATATGAAAATTTTGGTCTTTCATAAATATGAAAGTATAGAAAGGGGTTCTTTCATGGTAGCGCTTCAAAAATGAAGACGAAGCTCTTTGGAAAGAAGCAGTCATCCAAGCAATCCATGATAGTGATAGTGGAATTGGTCGTGTTAGATCTACTACCAATAGATGCGGTATTTGGGGAAACATTAGCCACTTGCCCCTTGCACTTGATCATTAGGATACCCACCTTGCAAACATGTTTCTATTGCAGAATCAAAAAGTGGAGTTGCAATGAAGAACCTGATGGTAAATTCATTGTTTCCTCCCTTAGGAGGATTATCGATGCGAAAATTCTAACCAAATGTCCGCTCAAGACCGCTTGGAATAAAAAAGCTAATTTACTCGTTTGGAGGGCACGATTAGGTAGAGTACCAACTCGAACCAATCTTGAGCGTTGGAGTTAATGTGGGTTCTCTTCTATGTCCCTTACGCAATACAAAACAGGAAACAGAAGGTCACATTTTCATGGATTGCTCAACTGATTTGGAGGTTTGGTCTGCCCTTCATAACTGGTGGACCGATTTTCCTATTGTTGCGACCTTGATTCAACGTGATTTCACTCCCGAGTGTGTTGCTAATAACCTAAAGAAGGAACACACCGGTATTTTTGTTCTCGTTAATTCCGTCGGTAATATTTACCCACGGGGCTTTTTACGACATACCTAATTTCGTTCGATATTCCGTTGGAAATCGGCTTTAGCGACGGATTTCCGACGGATTTGGCCGTCGGAAATTGCCCAGTTTTCTAGTAGTCAACGAGGTCAAGGTTCTTGCCTTCCATTGGCTTAAAATTAGAGCTAGGAGAGGTTTTATGTTAAATTGGGATAACTGGTGTTTAGATCCGAAGGTTAAATGTCTTAATGTCTTGTAATTCTAGCTTCTCGCTAGCTTTTTCTTTGGAATGATAACTTTCTTGCTGTTCAAAGAAAAAAAAAGGGAAAGGGAAGGAAAATTTTGACAGAAAGAAAGGGAGGGGAAGGAAAATATTCATTATTACGTGTTCCCGAGTTTGAAGGAAATGAAATAAAAATTTTAAGTTTTTGTGTTCCCGAGTTAGGAGGAAAAATAAAATAAAACTTAAATTTTCTTTCCCCTCATTTTCTTCCCAAATCCGCTCAATTTGGGAGGAAAATTTGGAAAGAAAATATGGCTCAAAAGTCATTTCCCTTCCCTCACTTTTCTTTCATTAATGAAACTCGAAAATATGATTTTCTTTCGACATCCCTCACTTTCCCTCTGTATCCTTCCATATCCCTCCTTAAGTAGAATTCGGGAACAAGACGTAACTTTGCTTCGGCAACTACTTGTTAAAAAAAAATCGGAATTGTTGTCACTATTAATATGTGAAAAGAGATCTCAAAATATTTTATATGTTTGATTCGTCAATGTCCTAAGAACATATTCTTTAAATTATTATATGTTATTTCCTTATCGTAAGCTGTATATACATATAATTTTACCTTATTCGATTGTAACCGATCGTTTGCGGATATATTTAACTTATTTGATTACAACACGTCTTCATTGGACTGCTCTTAGAACATGTTAGGTTAAAAGCACATTTTAGCGTAGATTTCTTTAAAACTGATTTGACTTGTGTGCTTGGGTACATGGATTCGAGCGTAATAGCTCTTTCAACCCGTATTTAGTTTTATTTAATCAACCAAGTTTCTTTAAGACGCGGACCATCTGTAAAACGTTGTTGGGACATGTTAACGTAAAACATAGATAATCGATGTTTTCGTGAACGCGATCACATGGGTGAATTTCCACATTACTATATATAGACATTGTCAAGTCTCTCTCATTGGACAATCATAAAAGCTTAGCCCACTTCTAGAATTTGGAGCCATTTTGGTACAATTAACTCTATACATAAATATAGAATATATTGTACTTTATAAATTTCAACAAACAAAATGAACAATACACAGATCTCATAAAATCGTGGTGTGATGGATACAGTCTTATCTCTACCGAGTTATTTGTAAAGGAAAATACAAGAAGAGAATAAAAAAATTGTAAAGCATTAATTAAAGAATACTAAAACTAAAGAGAACTAATAGTAAAGATACAAGTTGGGGCTAGCCCATTTGGCTAACATGGAGATTCTAATCTAACTACTAACTAGGAGGTCATGGGTTCAATCCTATATAGAGTGAATATATAGCATGTTCAAAAAAAAAAACTAATAGTAAAGATCGCATATTCAATTGGATCAAGATGGTAAATTGGTAATTGATTCATGATCCAGTTTTCGTAGTTCTGTAGATACTGTTCACATTTGGTCCATTTTACGACCATAATATTTTTTTTTTGGCATGTGAATATATAGCTTTTGTTCGGCATGTACATAACACATCGAGAAAAACAATTTGTATTATACAGCCATAATACAATAATGTTTCAACAAAGTTATTTATAACTTATAAGTTTTTATATATGCATAAATGTACTAGCTTAGCCCTACGAAATTAAAAGAGAATTAGGAGAATCTGTTTCATGACTTTCATCCGTGAATGAGCGTTCACACTTTGTGCTCTTTCAATGTTATTCTAAACAAAAAAATTTATTATATTACAACTAAAATACCAGTTTATTTATTTTATTTATTAATTAAGACATTATCTTTCTATTTATCAACAGGTAAAAAATAATTTTTAATAAATAAATGTATTATCTTCTATATATAGAAAGAAGATAGAAAGTGGCACCAAGTCTGTTACATGCCCTAACTTGAAGCAAGAAAACACACACAGACACAATCGTTCTGATCAAAGTTATGTCAAGCACCAGCAGCACCTGCACAGATGTAGCAGCGGCGGAAGCAGTTTCTGAGCAGCTTTGTTACATCCATTGCAACTTCTGCAATATTGTTCTTGCTGTACTCTCTCTCTCTCTCGTCTCCTCGTCTCTGCCTCCTCCTCTCTCTCTCTCTCTCTCTGTGTGTGTGTGTGTGTGTATGTGTGTATATGTTTTGTGTATTCTTGAAGTATGAACAAAAACAATGATGTGAGTCATTTGATTTTACAGTGGAGTTTTCTTTTTCCACTTTGAGAACTCTGAAACATACAGACTGATCAGAAGGTTAAGTCTCCATCGTTTAAGGCTTTTTTCTTGAATCTTTTTCTGCTAACAGTCAGACGAAGTATACATGACACACTGACGCACAGACACACAGAAACAATGACTGGCTGCATGTACTGGGAGGATATGTAAAAACCATTTTATTGTAACACTTTGAGAACATGTATTTTCTATATAGCAACCAACTCAATTGCCACAATTCTAATAGAAAGAAAGGGGTCTTCTAACCCTAAACTGATCTTCTTGAGTGCATGAGGGCGGAAGTTCTGTTCATTAGATGCAACTGGTAGCCCTTTAATTTTCACTTCTTTACGGAACCAAGAAAGTAGGGTTTTGTTCTTATTTCTTAGACTCTTCAACCCGACCCCAAAAATATAATATTACCATGATGGATTCACTTTGGTGATGCTATCCCATGAATATCCAGACATTACAAGGTGCAAAATTCCTTTCATCCTTCTCTTTCTTCAAAAATATCGAAAACCCTAATTTCTTTTATGTCAAGAGAGATACGAGAGGCAATTAACTTGACGACTTTACCCAGTTTTAACTGAACTAGATAGATACCAGACTACTAGCTAAGGGATCCCTAAGTTATATGTATTCTATATAGCTTATATTCTTGAATTGTTAGTTCGTGATAATAGAATGGTATACGTACACTGTGTATGAATGTTGGAACCCTAGCTTTCTCTAACTTCTATTGTAAACAAACCTAATAATATGTGTTGTTTTTAGTCGTTTCTGAAATGGGTAATGATGATTTTGGGACAAAAAAAAATGGTTTCAGGTGAGTGTACCATGCAGCAGCTTGTATGATACAGTGACAGTGAGATGTGGAAACTGCACAAATATGTGGCCAGTGAATGTGGGCATGGCTGCTGCTTTTCATCAATCTCTCTCAGCTGGTTCAACTTCCACTTTCCAAGACTCATCTTCTTCTCATCATCAGGTCAGGGGCATAAACGTCTTTTCACATATCAATAGTTCATTAACAAGAAAATTGCTTGGCTTTTTTGGGGGGTTTGGACGTTTTGTCTCTAGGGTTATTGTCATAACCCACTCCATGGTATTTTAGTCATTAGGTTGGTTTTTCTTTGTTATCTTTATCGAGGCAGGTAATGACATCCCCTCTCTAGTAATTTATTTTCTATAAAGTCCATGCATTTTTCTTCTTTTCAGCAAAATAAAACAAAAAACCTATTAATATATTCTTTTAAAAATCAATAAAAATGCAAAGAAACACACATTTTTCACTTAATTTCATAACCCTTTCTTGAAGGTTTCTTATGTTTTATTCTCATTAAGAACTTTTTAACATTTTAACAATTTTGTTTTCCCCAAACTATTATACTAAAAGGGTAACAAACTTTGTACTTGTTGCTTCCTTTTTTTTTTTACAAAACACAATTTGTTTTAAAAAATGCTATTAGAGGGTAAGCATGTAATTAAAGATCTATAAAATAAAGTTGTATTCAATTATTTTAACAGTATTTTGTAAATAAAAACAAATAATTTGTAACCTATTTAATATTATATTTTTATGACAATAGTGTTTTGCAAAAGAAAAAAAAAATGTTTATTCATTTATGACCTGAACTCATTCTTTTATTGTACTTAAATTCATGAATATGATTCATTAATTGAATTACCGCTAGATAGGAAAAAAGTAAAAAGACTACAAAAATTGTCATGAAATTTTGTTGTATACATGTATTATCAACCAACTATAGATTGTGTATACATAAAATCATTAAAATTTAACTTTTATTAAAAAAATATAATTGTATTATTAGTAATAATAGGTTATCGGCCACTAAACTTTTTTTTGTTATATATTTTAACATTAATCTTATATAATTTATTCAAAAAATACAATTTCAAAAAAAATATACATACTATTACATAAAAATGGATTCCCCACCGCCCTTTGCGGCTCCCCGATATTAAAATGTTTGGGAGAGGCTCGTCTTTGATAATTATACTAAACAGTTTGTTTCAAGATTGTATCATGCTGCTTTCTCCTAGTAACCCATGGACCGAATGCTCTAAGATTTAAGCTTCTGACCTCCCTTATTTGTTGCCCAAGCCTTACCCGACCAAGACGATGCTTAAGAATATGACATATATATATATATATATATATATATATATTATTTT